ACTGAACCTGTCGCGTTCTCGAGATTATCAAGCATGAGTGTAGAACAGGTTATCCGATCGTTTCAGCTGCAAGCGGAACAACGTAGTTGCAAATCACATGCCGGAAAGATTCAGAGCAAAAATATGTAGAGGAGCGTTCCACGGCTCTGAAAAAGGTATGAGTTGAAATAATTCACTGATAGAGCGTATTTTCAACAAATGAGAACGAGACTGTTCCAAAAGTCCCTAGGATTGAAGAGGCTTTCTTGAAAGAATGGAGAACACAATTCATCTGCTGCTTGAGAGCTGTTTTAGTTGTAAGAAATGTCAAGATGTCAATAACGAGAACCTATCAACCCGTCTTAATTCTGTCACCACATTCAAAAAGGGTGAAGGGACGGTGAAAAAAGACAAGATAATGGCTGCTGATTGCTTTGATCAAAACTTAGTGCAGTTAGTCATGTCACTGCACATTTTCAATATCCTGGATGCAGAATAAATATTCAAAAACTGAAAGGAACACGAGCAGCCAGAATCAAAGCGCAACAGAGAGACGTCTACGTTTTTTAATTGGATGTCATAGAAGGAAAACTTCGGCCAAAGTTCATCATGCTGATGCTCAACGAAGAGCAGAAACAAGGAAGGGTGGAGAGTTCACTGTGTTCACTCCGCCCCCGGGTTCGTGAAATAAACCGTTGTCGAAATTACCACGAGAAAAGCATCTTCACTGAAAACGTTTATCGAATCGTGCAAAACGAATCGAAGACGGATTGGGAAAGGTAAGCATAGCTATCTCACTTTCCTTCAGAAGCAGAATTCTGAAACCGAAGTGATCCTACAGTAAGAATCTCCATGTAGCAACTGCTAACTTGTTACGTTTATGACGATGCAGCAATAACCACGCAAAGCCTCATTCGTCGAGATGGGTTAATGACCACCATGAAGCGGATGTGGTTAACGCGCACTTTTGGCATCATCAACACGGAGCGGTCAGTAATTGCGCATGGTCCGAATTTGTTCTTTGGACCCGGTCGGGGAGGATTAATAGCCGGAGGCTCCTTAGTCGGGTTATTCTTGGCCTTGGTGGTCCGCAATACAGCAATACTGTATCCGCAATACTTGGCTCCAACCGGCGACACAATATCCGACGGCACAATAACAGCACATAATATTCGACCGCACAATACCCGACGGCACACTACACAGGAGAAGAAGAAGAAAGATTAACTATTAGCGTTCTGTTGTTCTAATAAAGTGAAAAACCAAGCCGTGCACTCCAGCATTCAGAGTTATCCGCGTGGCGAATCCCAAAGATTTTTGTGCGAGCAACATCACCATACTAGTGACCACACTGCCCCGTTATAGAAATCATCCGCCACTCCTGAAGTTCGAGCTGTGCGACTGTTTTCTGAATTGTGAATCCGAAAACTGGGTCCAACCGCCGTATTCGCCCGACACACTATTGTGCGACCTCAACTCTTTTGGTCAGTGGAAAGCACATGTCACCTGCGATCGCTGGTGGCATGTGCACGCGATTCTGGTCAGCTACCAAAGCATTAATAATGAATAACATTTTATATGTCCTCGTCGAAGAAAAGGGGCTGCTTCGTGCCCAGATTACACCTGCACGCTGGAAATGGGTTGCTGACAACCGGAACTCCACTTGACTTTTCAGTAGAAGAGCAGCTTCCCATCATCTTCGCGGCTCATTTCATTCGAAAAAAAGCATTAGATCTTTTGATTGAGATGAACGAACATTTTCATGCGGCTGGATGAAGCAACAAGGACAGGATGCCAGAGTGTAGAAATTTATAGAAGAGCGTGGTGCGTGCTGACTAGCACTCCTCGACTATGTTATATCGAGCAAACACAGTCGTATTGAGGCTCCAAACACAATCTCATGGCAATGTGTGGTAATCGCGAAAACTGCCACCGCCAGTTGTGCTAACGGAAGGATCCTAAGTCGAAGTGGCCATTTGAAACAAGACCTACAGTGCTATATGTGTTTTTGGATGCTGATTTCAAATGTGCTTTCCAAGTTTGTCAAGCGATTCTCTGAACGGAGTCATGAGAGTGGTTTCCGGTGAGACTTAAGAGATTCAAATTACATGGTTGTACCGTTCTCTGCAACGGATCTAAAAGGGCGCTATCTCAGATAGGTCCCGTACTCCGTTGGCTCCCTCAAAGAGGTCCGTGACTTGCATCTCCCGTAAAGAACCCTCACCAGGGAAGAGTTTCAACTCCCCATGGAACTTTGAGTAGGGACCTAGGTATATCGTTAGGACTTGGAAAGTTATTAACGAATATGGAAATTAAAACTGTTAAATGAATCTACCAAAAAAGTTGTGAGCGGTCAAAGTTTGCACGCTTGAAGCATGGAGAGCTAGGGATGGCTAGAAGGGTCCCCGTGGCGCAGTGGAAGTGCTCTTGCTCTCTAGATGAGCGATTAGGGTGCTTGAAGCATGGAGAGCTAGGGAGGGCTAGAAGGGTCCCCGTGGCGCAGTGGAAGTGCTCTTGCTCTCTAGGTGAGCGATGAGGGTTTGTTTCCCGTTGTCGTTTTCGCTTTTGCAAAACGTGCTTTCATCCGGATAAAAGCTCCTTGAAAGCTCCCAAACCGTTTTTCTTACTAATTGAAGTTATCGCTTTGTTTCGGCTATCATTTGAATAACCTACCTATCACCGCATTTATTTGAAATTTCTCCACTTCAATTTTGTAACGCTCTTTCATTTTCAACACCGAAACGCTCATGCCCACACCCAAAATGAAACAGTTTTGGACACGGGGAAAACTCAGCATCGATGAAACAACTCAAAAATGGGTAAAGAAAACGTGCATTTTTTGGTCCCGAATCGATTGTGTGTTTCATTTACGGTTGTAGAGAGACAGCATGTACATATGAATTCGCATTTAGTGAACAGCATATCTGCTTCACTCGTTTCTAGGATTGTTTCATCAATATTCAGTTTTTCATGCATATCTGTCTTGTGTGATTTGGCTTTCCACCTCCACCTCAACAAGTTTTACATTAGTGCGGTAATATGTGATAGGTAGGTGATCGCAAGTGATCGCCGAATCAAAGCGCTAACTTAAATTAGAAAGAATAAATGGTTTAGGAGCTTTTATTCGGATGAAAGCACGTTTTGCAAAAGCGAAATCGACAGCGGGAACCAAACCTTCATTGTTCACCTGGAGAGCGAGAGCGCTACCACTACGCCAAGGAGATCCTTGTAGCCGTTGTGGGCAACTAGGCTTATCAACTGGCACTAGCTCTCCATGCTTGAAGCGTGCAAACTTTGACCGCTAACAACTTTTTTGGTAGACTCATTTTGTTTTCATTCCCATATTTCATAATAACTTTCCAAGCCCTATCGATATACCTAGGTCTCTACTCAAAGTTCCATGGGAAGTTGAAACCCTTCCCTGGTCAGATGAAGGATGTTCGACCTCATCACATCCCCTACATTCTACACAATGTCCACGGGATTCGAATGAATAGCGAGCCCTTATAAAGGTATATATGATGAAGTGGAATCGAAATATGTCTCTGCTGCTCTAGTCATCAAAATTCAACGACTAAAGATCCTCTGCCTGGATTCTTGTGATTTTTTTGTGACAAAGTCCAAAATCGAGACCAACGCCTATGTTTGACTAGTCGGATTGCCTGAATGACACAAAGCACTCCTCTTTTTTGTGGTGAGGTTGGCCCAGCTGCCTAAACCTCTTTCATATATGGGCGCTCAGGAGAAGAGCGACGGAATTCCAGGCGAACACACTCACACTCCGACACACTTCGTGTACACTCGCCCGCCGGAGGCGGCTTCCTGCTGGTCCTGTGTATATTAAGTAACCCAGATCTTTCCCCACTTACTCCCACTCAATTATTTCGGTAAATGAAAAGAGTAGCCGACAGGGGGGTGCTCTGCTTGTCTGCCCCCTCTAGGCGAAATAGGAACAGCTTTCGTGCACTTGCACAGCAAAGACAGGAAATTGCTTCCTAGAGCCTAGAGGGCTGTAGAGAGAGAGAATTGGCGGTAGTAAGACACACAGCTTGTTATCAGTGAAACCTGGAATATGTGAATTCACACTGCCTAACTAAGAGAGTGCAGACAAGTCGTGCGCCACGTAGTCGCCTGGCCAATTTCAAATTCTCATAACGTCAACGACAATGAACATCTCAAAAGCAACACCGAAATTACTGGAGTAGTTGTAAACGCTTGGAAGCTGTACAAAGATGTGGTGAAGAATATCAGGCTAAATGACTTCAAACTAGAAGTGGTCGAATCTCTGCTGAATGTTGATCATAGCTACACTTCGAGTCATCATTGTCACTCCATGCGACATGTGTTAGAGAAGGTATCTTAAGGTCTAAAAGGAATCAACAGGGCGAGATGTGTAGAGTGTTACGCAGCAATGTCCAAAGAGCACGGACCTGTTATGGCATAGAAAAAGACAAAAAGGGTCAAAACACGTTGCAATAGATTCAGGAAACTCGTTTGCATAGCTCGTTTCAATAAAAAACACAAGTCTTGTCGCGTAGAAACGTAATCTCTTGAAGTTATTGTGGTTGTTACTAATTACTTATAGATTAATTCTATGATTTATATGTTTGTTCTGAAAAGGGAGTTTAATTTCAGTTTTAAGTGAGACTTTTACAAGGTTTGGAAAATTTTTGCTGGGATAAACCATATTTGCTCCGATCGTGGACCAAGTTGTTTGTAGAATTCTTAATGTATTGTCTAATGTATAGACTCAAAAAAATTCCAAAAAGTCGCGATCTCGCAAAAGGAGGAGTAGTGAAAAAACCGGTCCCTCGCGGTCTGCAAGGCTTGACGCGCATGCGCGTCAAAATGTCGTTAATGGGTTAAACTAACACTTTTCGCGCCCGTCTCCTGTGGACGGAGCGTAATCTCGCTACCTGTCATAAATGTTCCCATACCTGTACTTGCACTAACCAATAAGTATGCAAGCTCCATGCTCAGATCAACAACTTCTTGATCGCGCACGCCCTCTGTGGGCTGTTTTAAGCCTTAGTACGTGCCATAAGCGTTTTCATTCTGCCTGTTAATAACTCGTCCAGTATTCGTTCCGCCTGCTCGATGTTCGGTATTGTAAGCACTATGTCGTATGCAAAGCGGAGGTGTAAGCGGTGGCCGTCGACATCTATTCCGAAGGCTACCCGTTCGAAATGACGCATGAAGTTTTCGAGAGCGGCACCGAAATATTTCGGCGAAATGACATATCCCTGCAGGATCACCCCCTTGTCGTTGATAACGACTTCCTTATAGAATGGCGAAATACTAGTCGTTATGCTGTCGTAGAGCTCATGGAGCATCCTTATGTATTGAACAAGAACATTGCGGCTGTCCAGGGCTTCAATTACCGCTTTCTTCTCGACACTACCAAAGGCCTTCCTGAAATCGATGGACGTAAGACAGAGCGGTATTTGGTACTCATGCGATACTCTAATAGGTTTTGTAAGAGAGTGGACATGATTAACTGTACTAAACCTCTCCAAAACCTTGCTTGATTGCATTCAGTTTGACGCGTGTGAAAAGCTTGTAAATTACAGACGGCAGGCAGATTGGACAACACTTGCCAATATTGTCAGAATTTCCATTCTTATACATCAACGCAATCTTGCTAGTTCTCCACCAAGTGGACACTTTGCATTCCGACAAATACCTCGTAAAGAACTTAGCCAGTGTTCTGACGACAATTGTTGGACGACTCTTTAGATATTCTGGTTTGATCCTATCGAAACCACGGGCCGTACAGTTCTTCATCAACGTGATGGTGTGTCGATTTTTGGAAGGGAGAACCGAAGGAGCGATATTGTCTTGTCTAAGGTGGAGGGTAGGCAGATAGACGTGGCTCTCGAAGAGATCTGAGTAGAAGTCGTAGATGACCTTCGAGATGCAGTAACTGTTCCGTCAGGACGACAAGGGAAGTCATCTTGGTCTTGTGATTGGGGAAGCCCCTCGGGCTTTGCAGATGCTCTTCTCGGCCACGGCGACTCTGTCAACCACATCTCTTCTATCTCTCAGATCTTCCTTTATCGATTCTCTGCATAGCTTCTCAAGTTTGGACGTTTGTTGATGATTACCTGTAGCTTGCACGATTCTACCCCGGGTTATTCCACTAGTTTCTATACTTTCGTAGCACTATTGCGGAGATGTTCGATGTGCCGATTTTATTCTTCATCGATGTCGTCGATAACGGAATCTTCCCACAAACTGGCAAGTCAAGCGATGATCCCAGTTGACAGCAGTTTCGTGTCCTGAACTTTGCAGCCCTCTCTCCACACACTTAAAACCAGAATCTAGCACGGAGGAGACTACGGTCCGATTCTGCGTAGTGCTTCGGAACAGCCGCGACGTCAGTCAGACAAAATTTTCGATTGAAGATTATGTGGGTCGGTGCACCACGTGACTCTATGTTCATCGCAAATGAGGGGGCTTCTGGAACTGCGAACTACCATGGATGGTCTGGGTCGACATGATAAAGTCGGACAGCCTTTCACCCTTCTCATTCCATTCCTTTCCGTGAGACCCGATGCGGAGCTCTTCAGCCGCTCTTCTGGGGCCAATCTTGGCGTTGGAATCACCGACGATGACCCTGAAGAAAATACGATCTCCATTTCCATATGGAACGCTTCCAGCTCCTCTCATTCGTAGATTGATGTTGGTGCGTAGGCAACAAAGGTTTTTAGAGCTGGGGTTGAACAACATCTTCTTAATCGGAAACGTCCGATTCGGATTGTCGAGCTTTCGTAAAAATCAATTTTCATGGCCAAGTTCATGTTGACGAGGACACCTACACCACCGACGCCTCTGCTGTCGCATGTTCTAAAGAACAGTTCTTTTGCAATTTCGAAAATGGCCTACAACGAGCGGTGCCTTGTCGTCTCGGTCAGTCCGATGACGTCATACTTGATCTTGAATTGCGTCATCAGGTCTTCGATACATGCTTCCGATGCAAGCATTCGTTCATTGAAAGAAAAGATCGCCATCTCAAACATTCTCCTTTTAGGTAGGTCGTTATCGTCCTGAATTTTAACAGCCTACATATTATATATATAT